GCCTATGTCAAGCATACTGAGGTGCCCACACCTCCAACCGCTCAATCAGATAATCTGGAAAGAAACTGACAGCAAGAACGCCACTGACATCGATTAGCCGCCATTTCTTGCAACGTCTCCAGCCAAGCACAAACGGGGCCACTGGGACTCCATCCTGGAAGGCGTACAACACCAACAACACCCAAACTCTTCGTGATCTCTTTCACGCTTTGTGCTGTCCACCTCGCGGTTTGCGCCATCCTGAAGGAGTCTATTGGAGAACAACACTCGTCCTGGTAGACGGCGTTTCGGCATGCGTAGCACATGACCGAGCAAAGCATCAAATAATATGTTTGGACTGACAGCCTTGCCGGAACACGCTTCTCCTCCACAGCCCACAACCGTGTCGCCCTTCTTGGGGCGTTTCAAGTAGACGCATTTCCAGATTTTCCGTCAACCGTCCAGCTGAATACTAAATCCTTTGCAGTTGGCAGAATGCATCCATTTGCAAATTACAATTGTATTAACTGGGAACTCAACTAAATTCCAGCTGAATCTGTCGTTTATGATATCCTTCAACTAAATGTGCTGCACAAAAGCTCCATCAGGTTACATTAGACGGGATATTCGAAATATCGAAGCATATTTTCTCCGCGAAACACACTACTTAAACACTACTATTAATGGGATCACAGTAATTCCTTTTGTCTGACTAAGAGATGCACTCAAAGACGTGCTCCAAGAATGGTACTTTCCACTCTAGGCGGTTGAACGATATGACAGAACATGGTAAGTCCAATTCTGGAGAGCAACATTCTGAAAGGAAGTTACGAACTTCTTTGCGTGGAGCATCAACCTGGGGCGACTTTATGAGATGACTCATATTGTGTGAGAACCATGGTAAAACTCGAAAACTGTTTACGTCACGATCGATTGGCCTGATAGGCCGGCAGTCACGTGAGAAGACCATTGGATGTTTACCGAATATCTATCTACTTACCAAAGTCCGTTCACTATCAATGTCCAATCACAGCTGAGGTAGTTGTGATTCGCTCATGCAACCCGAATCTGCGCACCCAAAGCGTTCCAGGGTCTGCTCACGTGACCACTGACCACTCAGTCCATTGATCTTGACGTAAACAGTTTTCACACTTTATTCGCAAGATTCGATTTATCCTTCTTGCAGGACGCTTTTGATTTTAATTTTGTCATCCATCGATCTGTATGAGCCAGAAGAAGGGATCGTGAAAACACTGATTTTCATCAATTTTCGTCCACGCCTTTCCAATCTGTGAGCAGTGATTCCAGAAAAGCGACTTTAATCACTTGAATCACGGCAATTTAGAATATTGTTTCAGCTGGTACGATATTCGAGATATCGCAGTATATTTTCAGAAAGGAAACTACTCACAAATTTGCTGAAAACTCTTCGACAGCCCACATAAGGTGGCCTGTTTGCAGTACATTCAGTTGAAGAACATTATAAACGAACGATTTACCTGAGTCTCCCGTGAAAACCAAATTGATTTGCAAATGAGTGTGTTTGTCGAAATCAGTCCAATTCGGATTCAAGCAGAACACACAGTGTGCCCATTCTGAAGTTCAGTAGTTCAACAACTCTAAAAGTACAGCAGTAAGGACATTCGGCCGAAATGTGTAGCCGAATTCGTCTTTTCTCACTCTCTACTAAGCGGGTATACTTCCACTGACAAAACTGACTGAGAGAAAGCTGCTAAGAACTCAAAGAAACTTTCCATACATAGTGGTGTAGTAGAGAACAAAAACTTTGTTCGGCCTCAGTTTGCACGTTTCCTACACCATACTACTCACTCAGGTGCGACCAAGTCCGCCTGCGTTTGTTCTAGATGCTCTCAGAACCGTTAGAGGGCCTCCATGAAGAGTGTGTTACCGCCACGTGAGCCGAACAACTTTCTAGCGCCCCCTATTCTGACATACATCCTTCAAAAGCTACTGGAACGAACGAAGATGCCTTTGCAGTCTTGACGTAGATTTATCCATAGTATGACAACTTTTCTACTGCAATCTTAACTAATCCACGTCAGGCTTCATCTCAATCGAGCCGCCAAGTCAAACGAGAATGACCATTTATCTAAGCCGTATAAAGGGGCTTGTTTTGTGGTGATCTGAGTCTAAGTCTAGCTAAGTCTGACTAACACTGCGGCGAGTAGTAGGGTTTTTTATGGATCTTGCCAGGTGACCAGTTGAAATGAACTAAGCTTAGCATCTGTGCGCAGATGATGAATTAGCCTTTCAACACCGGTCGATTTTGATGTGACGTCTATAAATTTTGGATTCCGGCTAAACGCGCGTTCGTTCGTTTGTTTTATTCGTTCCCATTGTTTTGTACGACGTTCCCCAAGTGTTACATACTACTTTAATCTTTCCATTTTGTCATCCATTCTCGCAGACCCCATGTGTTGTCAGATTTATGTATCTTGGCGCAACTCGGTTAGAAGAAGCCGCAATAGGCAGAACCAGTGAACCTGGTTCGAGGGCTGCTCGAGGTCAGACTGGTGACTGGGCACAGAGGACCAAACGACTGATTACGGTCAGTCAGCAACCGAGTGGGACAAACACAATCACAGTTTTCAAAGGTGTCTTACAACCTGGAGGTGAGCTAAGTTTTGACGTCTTGTAGTCAGATGACACGTCACCTACGAGGCTTAGAATAGAATGAAACAGAAATGTAAGAGGGGACATCCCCACATCCGAAATGGGGACACACCTAGATTGCTAAAATATTCCCAAGTGACAGAAATCTCCATAGGTCGTGTGGAATTAAGCCCAATATCCGTTGGCACTCAACCACTCAGTTGTAGAGGTGTCAGTGTTTTCGGAGCAATGCCCGAGTATGGTGAGTACACCAGATCAGAAATGCTGAATCACTTCGAAATATTTTCGGAAGAAACAACTCGCCCAAGATAGATGGACGGATTACACTTCACATGTTGCGCTGGCTTGACCACGTGCTCTGTATGCCAGTCGACGGAATTCCTCGAAGGGTCCCGTTCGCAAAACCACGTGAAGGGTGAAACCCATCCAGGGGAGATTAAAGAATGACTGGGCATTGAAGTATGGAAGCCATTACCTACAAACTCAGCTGCTCTGGTCATTGCCATCCCTATGGTTGGGGACCCCGAGACGGGGTACATCAGTGGTTGGAGGCACTGTCAGATATATTCCAGTCGTGACCTCAATGGTGCTCAGCTATCTACCCAATTTCCCCAGACTATCGCTGAACAAAACTGTGGCAGCTATCACCACTATACGGCAAGAACGCGGTTCTCATAGCTGATGATGATGATCCATTATTCACAAGATCCACATCACGTGGTCACGTTTTGACTACCTGGCTCCTCGGATGGAGGTTCCGTTCGTCGAACGAATTTTATTTTTCCTCTATCCAGTGGCTTTTGTTGTTCATAGTTTTGTTTGGATCGATAAATGCTGTCAGCAGTCGTAAGAGTATTTTGTATATGATTTCGTGCTGTTTTTCACAAACTAGCGCCTTCCAATATTGTTGTGTCTTGCTGAATGGCTGTGCAACTCTGTGTCGGTCCCTTGGCTTCCTGCTCCGCCCACCATTGTATATCAAAAGGCACGGTAACTCCGCACAGCCCTTTATGGAGACAAAGGAAAATTATTACAACTGTATTTATGGGATAATCACAGGGTGTTCCACAAAGTCGTGCTAGAATCTCCGTGAGGGGGCGAGAGGCGACTAGTCAGAGATGCTCGATCCGGATTGGCTGGTATTCAGACCAACCAGGGCCCGCCTTCGTTTGGTCCGTGTCCTGCACGTGACACATCCGTCCAAATGTTGTGATGTTCGGTCATTGGGGACTAAGACATCTAAAGCAATGGTTCCCATTGATGAATGTTCTTATTAACGGAGAAGCAGATGGCTCCATAACCTGGAATAACAACTGCAAGTTGATCTACCAATAGATGAATATGCAACTTAATTTCGCTCCTCTCAACTGAAAGAGGATCCTGGCGCGCGTACCTTTGATCAGGATATGCATACCACGCCCCCTACACATCTTCGAAACCGAGTTCAGCGCATAGTTGGAACCAGAAACAGATAGGAAAGCTCCATGATTCCGTCAGAAAATATTGCATTCCAAGCTTACCGATGGCAGTAAGAACCCCCGTCCTGACGAAGAGAAGTATATTTCCGCTTAGATTTCAAAGGGGACGATGTAAGCAGTCGTGTAAATCGTAAATTCATGATTCGTGAAGTTAATCTGCTCTGTTTGAGCACAAGGACAACAAATACCTCTCTCGTAGTCTGTTTATTGTGCGTACCTTAAACTGTGGTTGAAGTTATGAAGGCATGTGTGGAAGCACGTATGTGGATAAAATGGGGGCAAGATGTCTCAGTTGGTCAGAACGCGAATTTACTGACGGAAAGGTCCGTAGTTCGAACCCGACCTCTGCCTCTCGACTTCCCCTGTCTAGGCTTGGGCTATCTGGCAGTATCTCAGTCCTCGTGCTTCTTTCGGGTTGTATGGCAGCTAGACACTGGAAGGGTGTTACAGCTGAGCGATGCGGGCGGAGGAACGCTTACATAAGTAGCTATTCAAATCGTTAGATAATAACCCTGTCTAGGCTTGGGCAACCTGGCAATATCCCAGCCCTCATGCTTCTTTCGGGTTGTATGGCAGCTAGACACCGGAAGGGTGTTACAGCTGAGCGATGTGGGTGGAGGAACGCTTACCTAAGTAGCTATTCAAATCATTCGATAATAATAATCATTCGGCTTTATCACCGTTCCAGTGTCTAGCTGCCATGCCACCCAAAGGAGCCACGAAGACTGGGATACTGCCAGGCCTCCCAAGCCTATACGGGGGGAATCGAGAAGCAGAAGTCGGGTTCGAACCACGGACCTTCGGGTCAGTAAATTCGCGTTCTAACCACTGAGCTGTCTTCCCCAATCATTCAGTAAAGTTCCAAAAAACGCCGTTGAAAAACCCAGCTGAACACAGAACTCATTCAGAATTTTCAGTCGTTTAGACAAGGAGTTACTCTTGAGCTGAACAGGATATGTTGTTATCCGACGCCCCAAACCAAACCTCGGCATCCAGAAAGATGTGCTGCGAGGGAAAGGTGTGATGACAGGTTATGGTCGAACATAATGTCACAGCTGAGAAACAGGAAGTAAGTCACCGCTAATTTTCAAGTTTTCATCAGTCCTTTTTGTGGCCCAGTCTCAGGACATACGTCTTTATGCTGACAAACGAATCGTCGAGGAAAAGCAACCGGAAGACTTTGATTGTCATTCGTGTACTCTGACATGAAATCCGTGGCGGTTAGAAAATTCGCGCATTGTCCACTAAACTTCAGAGTCTGCCATGAGAATAGAAGAAGGCGACTTGTTTTCTAGAAGCATCCAAAACGTTGTGTGACCTGCGGGGGCTTGGCCATTGGTCGTGCTAAGAATGCCTGGGTAGGAGCGGCCAGGAAACTTTAGATTCATGAAAATGGAGAAAACGGTTGATAAAACGAATAAGGATCTGAGATATGGATACCCGGTGACAATGTTTGCATACGTCCGAGTGCATCGGCCTCAGGAATACCTGTTTAACACGTTTAATGTAGATCTAACCTCAACTACTTCACTGGCACCCTCTGTACTCTGGTACATACTACTAACGAGAGTCACCAGGAATATCACAGGAATACAGCTTGAAACAGGCGGTTAAGGTAGACTTCATTTATTTATTCAATTACACTTCTTTGTCTAAGCTCCAGAAAGAACAATGCTCAAGGTGCAAACTTGCTGCCAGGAAGGTGTGTATTTCGAACCGTACCCTTGCATCTCGATTATTGGTGTCTAGGCTTGGGCGACCTTGTAGTATCTTAGCTCTCTTGCTTTTGTGGGTAGGCCTGACAATCAATAAAGATCTAAGAATGTGTTTCTGAACCTTGACGTCGACTGGTGCTCCGCATGTTAGTTTAGTTGTACCCAGTTCGTCCGGGTTTGTTCAACGACTTATCCAGTCAGCTACCCTTTTGGTCGCACCATGGTTAACATCGCTAGTTTTATCAAACCTTTCTCTACATGGATAGCTCAATTTTGGTTGCTTCACTTCTATCCCCAGATGTTTTCGAGTTCACCAGTCGCCGCGTTTTCGGTCACCCGTTCTCACTCTCCCTGTGCATTGACGGTACACAGGATGCTCGGATTAGTGCCTGTTGTGAATATCGGCACAAGTGTGGGATGAGAATTGGCGGGAAATATGGACACTTTGTATACCTGAGTGTGGAAGGTTCTGTGCCGTGTTTCAAGTAAGCCAGTCAGCATCGTGGGTTTGTTTTCGTTTCAGTGCTTTTAATTCTACTCTGTTTTCTGCAACTATGTTCTACTTATTTGGAGAAATGCAAAACCCAACCCAGGACTCACGCTATGAGTGATGCTCACTGATACCGTGTTAACGGTCGTGAAATCACAACCGGCGTGGAAGTAGTCCTGATCACGTGAACATGCACTTGAGTGGGTCAGAGGAACTCATTGATTGGTTCATCCAGATGACAACTTGTGGCTGGTCGGACAATTCCGATCACGTGAACGGGCACGGAGTTGGTGAGATGAGTTCATCGATTGATTCATCCAGAGGATAACTTGTGGCTGGTCGCCTAACATAGACAAATGTTGACCTCAGTCGCTCATTTTTTTCCACTTCATCCGAAGATGACAGAAGTTGACCAAATGAAAAAAGTATCCAAGTTAGAAAGAAAACATCCCAAAAAGCGGAGTTGTCACTACACCCTCCTCTAGACTACTCTACACGAATTCGAACGAAAAGAGGACTCTGGTTTAAAGAAGAACTGGCCCGAGTGGCAATAAAGTCTTCACCTTAGATGGCCTTGAAATGCTGATGTGAACTTGATCTAGGTTACGAAAAGTGCAGTGGATATTCCGTGACTCTCTACTGATTTTATCACCCGTTTTATTCATTTGGAAAATGTTGAGAATCAATACTGAACAATACCGAAGGAAATAGCTTCAGTGAACGTCTATTGGCTAAAACTTCCATGCTACCTTGAATAGGTGACAATATAGCTGCCGACTTACTATTCCAAAATGGCAACACCCTGATACGCCGGGCCAACCTCACTAATCACAAATGTTCTTCAGGACTACGCAACTTTTATGATAGTTGAATTTGAAACCAAAATGACAGTTTTCGCGGCGGAGTAATGGGCCTCGTATTTTATAATACCTGCAATACAGCTTCTACGAGGTCAACGTCCTCAGTCACCATAGAAATCGTTTTCCCATTTCATAAATAAATCTTTATGCCTGACTGAGGCAGTCATTTTTGCGAACTATAGACGTTAAACTTCATAGCTTGTGTTTTTTCGTTTATTCCTGAAAACCCGGTGTGAGACAACCTCGAAAGTATCCTTATAACACAATCTTTTCTGGCACTTCGCGTTTTTCAGGTGCCAGGCTGCCCAAAGTGTTCGATTGGAAGGAGAGAAATTGAAGAAAGAAAGCAGACCCTCTGATTTACTGACGGAATCTGGTGGTGAGTATGTCGTATGGAAATATCACCTGAACTACCCAACTAGACCGTTAGCCTGTGACAATTTATAATGGCAAACGCTCAGATAACTCCACTCAACAGCCAAAGACAAAATCCTCGCTGGTCCGCTGACTGCAATTTGAAATTGCGCGCACAGTTTCGTGTATTTTGAAGCAAGTTCACTACTTAGCCACCTTATTACTCGGACTCAGTTCGTTGGCTCCTGAGGATAGTTTACCAGCAGACTGCGTAGGACGTTGGTTAAATTAAGATCCATTCGGTGTTATCATCAGTATTTTGTGGAAATCACATTTTCTCGGTGTTTTTGTAAATAAGTGCTGTTTTGGTGCCTTAGGAACGGAAGAATACCTGCCACTAATAAACACAACAGCCTTATTGCGAACAAGCTAGTGCGAAATTTATAAGAGGCATTGAGGTATTTAAAGCACCCTCTTGACCTTGAATCCAGGCTGTCCTATTGGCTTTGGGTGAACACTCATCATCATCGGTCATGGCATGCCTGAGAACTCATCATCTTTGGTCGTAGCTGAATTGATTGATTGCCTAAGCATCCAATCGGCAGCTGAATTTTCCGGTCTGGATGCTTGAAGACTTCCCTAACGCGATTTTGCCGGGGTCTCAGTAGGTTTCGGGCATTCTGGGATTAGTTTCAGGTATAGTCGCAGGGCTGAATTTCTGTTTGAAAAGTAGTATTCTGGTGAGACAATGATCTCGTGAATTAATCGATTTTCCAATACCGTCTAAATAACAAACCTGAGAATCTGGACTGTCCAGATCACAAACGGTCGCACCCATTTAGAAGCATTCGAGTCATATGAGTATGCTTTAGAAACAGGGGATTCACAAGCACCTTTAAATGGGGAACTCTGGGCTCACGTTAGAGGGGCTTGGTAAACTATCGACAGTTTTTTAAATGGGCAACGTTCCGCCCTAGACAAAAAGCTTCATCAGACCGAGTGAGCAGGTGCCAAGTTGAGTGAATTAATCGATTTTCCAATACCGTCTAAATAACAAACCTGAGAATCTGGACTGTCCAGATCACAGACGGTCGCACCCATTTAGAAGCATTCAAGTCATATGAGTATGCTTTAGAAACAGGGGATTCACAAGCACCTTTAAATGGGGAACTCTGGGCTCACGTTAGAGGGGCTTGGTAAACTATCGACAGTTTTTTAACTGGGAAACGTTCCGCCCTAGTCAAAAAGCTTCATCAGACCGAGTGAGCAGGTGGCCAAGTTGACCAGGTTTCGAAGCAACCAGAGAATCAATCAGATTGACACACTAGATTAGCGTTGAATGTCAGTTAAACGGTTAGTGCGGCTGCCAAAATTTTACGGTTGATGGGTCCTGAACCAAACCGATCGGAATTTCCACTTAATCTCACACACCCAGCCACCCAGGTAAATTGTCATAGCACTTACGAGCCCACACAAACCAACAAGATTTACCAGCGGCACTCAAAGTAAATCAGCCTTGAAGCGGAAAATCAAGGAACCAAACCCGGTCAAATATAATTTGAACTTTCCTCAGCCCATTTGCTAACCTGCTCGCTTGGTCCCTTGAAGCTTTTGTGTCAGAAGCGAAACGCTGCCCAAGCCCTGCTGAAACGATGACTTCTCAATGAGTTCCGGACATTTTACAAAAGGGATCTTTTTGTTTTTGTTACCCGCTTATGCCAGCCCATTGGCGAATTCCGTGCCGCGGTTCCATACTTCGTTTCCCGTGGTCGTTGTATTCTAGAACCCCACCCAGAAAATCCTCGGTGGATTGCTGGTCATTGAGTAGTAATCACATTGAAGCATTCTGAAGTGAAATCTAGATCATCTTGCATATCGAATGCAGCTCAGAAGCTGTTATCGACTGGATCCACAGAACCGCACCTTGACCTCTCGCACTCTAGCAGCACGTGACGTGGTGATTAGAAGCTCTCTATATCACACCAAGGTTAGCTGATTCCAGCAAACGTCTGCTTTGGTAGATACGCTCTGATATTTTCAATACTCCAGACTGAACGCAGGATTTGTGAAAAAGTTTGCCAGAAACTCGGAAAGATTTGGCTCATTTAAGCTTCGAAAACTAAGGTCCATGCGAACACTCGTTCATTCGTTGTTTGGTCGAATGGTAACAACTGTTTTAACCTATCATCAGGTGTAGTTCGCAGAGGCAATTTCCTGTCAACCTTGTGCTGAACAGAAACAGTACAAATCTAATTGACTGTACGGTGATCTGAAACATGAAGGCTCTAGATTCAAACCTGTTTGAAGCTACTCTTCAGTTCCTCTCCATCCGGACTGTTGTGAAATTTGAAGAGCTGGAGAACACGTGATTGTGATCCTTGATCTCGAAGGATGAAACGTCTTTCTGTGGCGTGCCGAGATCTCTCACACAAGTACGATTACGAATTTAGATAATGGGTGTAAAGTTTGCAGCCACCTGATCAACAACCAATAAGTTTGAAGCTAGATGAGAAAAAATGCCAGAATTTGTAATTTACTGTAGAAACCTAATTTAAGTGTTTGTTTTCGGAAAGTTTGTTGTAGCCCACATTCTGTGTGGCAGCACTGCATAGCATCGTTTCTATCTTGCTGTAAAAAGCCTGACATTGCTCTCTATCGCGTATTGAATGTAAGTCCAGCTGATCGAGTGAGAATTTCCTCGGGCTATCCAGTCGAGCGTTCAATCATTTTTGTCAAGGAACTCACTGTCGGTCATTAGGCTGCATGATGTGCTCGGATCGATAGCTCTCGGTTAACCAATCGGATCGATAGCTCTCGGGTTAACCAATCGAATCGCTAAGTTGTTGACAGTCCCCTTTTCGGACGCGTCCGGCGTGTACAAGTCAAGTGGTAGCGGAGTCGAATCCCCAGCACGGACAAGGGTGTGACGCTGATGAGCTCTGACAGGAGTGAAACTCGACTTCAGTGCTTCCCCTCTTTGGTGTGAACTGACTACAATAATTGCCACAGGGCTGATGAAACGAGAGGTGTGAGCGTGAATTAACAAGTGTTCATGTACGGAATCAAAAATGTACTAAGAATCAAGAATTACACAGTAACCCCAACCATGAGAGTCTCATAAACCATGATTACGACCCGCGTTCATAAATAACTGTTCTTCTCAACTCAACCCAGCTTCAAGTGTCACCATTCTCTTTGCCGTGTAGTAACTTTGCAAAAACAGATTCCATCGGACTGGTTTACATTAGTTTGTTTACTATTCGAAACGACTGTTTGCCGTTAGACCTTCTACGTTTGGCAGATGACATCTTGATGCCAGGACTTTTTCCCTTTGCCCGTTTCGTCGTTAGTTATCCGACCCTTCTTTCTCCATCCGATCGCTCATTAGATAGTGTCGAACAGCACCGGGAAAATGACGAGTTATCCAGCGTAAACGAACAAGACTCTTCCAATCCGAGTGCCCTCTTATCACCGGTGGAAAGATTTGGTACAAACATCACTCGACGCATAGCCAGCTCAACTCGGTGGGAGCATTTTGCCACAGGTGTTACGGAAGAACTGCCGTACGAAATGACTGACGAGCAGCCTGAATGGCTGGAAGAAAAATTGCAACTTGGCTCGGAGGAAAGCGACGAAGAAGCGATACAACACTACTGTCAAACACAGGAATCGATAAGTCACCTGTCGATGAGCACAGAAAGAGAATGTTTTCGTGCGTATTCTATGGAGTTTGACAATTATCGAGAGGTGACAACCGAGCAAGAATATTACGAAAACATCTATGAGGAAGAGGCAGATGAGGACGACTCAGTGCCAGAGGTGGAGGAAGGGGGTGAAAAAAGTGTAGATGTATCGGAAGATCAAGTGCGTGATGAGGTGGATGACATAGGAGGCGGTTTGGAATCGGACTACGAAGCTGAGCACCCAGTAGAAGCTACTCAAGGTCAAGAGAACAGTGAGGAGGAAGAAAATGGCGTCATTGTAGAAAAGGTGGATGCGTTTTATCAGCACAAAATGGCTGCATTTAGCTCTGCTCCAACAGAAGTGCAAAACTATGTCGACAGTGCTCTACCAACTAACGGGATCTATGAGAATACTGTTCCGCTCTATGAAACCTCATCTGGGGATGTGCACAATATTACAGGTTGTGATTTACTCATCACTGATGTAACGGAAGAGGCGATGTTGAGTTATTACGCTGCTTTGGAACCCATGGATCCTCACAATTCGTCCGCCTCAGGCGATTCGTTCACGCATGCTTTCTCAACCACCGTGCATTCTGCTCACCCATGTGCTAGGCTTTCCTCAGTGACTATGGGTTTTGAAAGTGAGCAGCTCCAATCACCGACCTGGTATTCGAAAGTGGATTTTATTGGCGGGTCAGTTTTGATGGTACCCAGATGTGAGAACGAACAGACTGGGTACAACGTTCACAAAGACTTGGAACGTTGTTGTCAAGGCGTTGAAACCTCGTCTATATCCCCGTGTACCAATGGGACAAGGTCCGTCACATTCACTTCAGCAATGAGTGACGCTAAATCACCGGATAAGCGGTCAGTGGAAGCCACCCGCCAGATCAAATCGGTAGGACCTCAGTTTAGACTGATCGGTGATGATCAGAGACCACCTGTGACAGAAGAGCTGAATGCACTGTACTCCACTCATGCATCTCCTCAGATTGTTCGAGATAGATTTAACGTCCTGTCAGCGCCAGAATACAATTCCGCTGGGTTTTTCACCAAGATCCAAGACAGGACATTTGACCAACCGAAGATGGAATGGAAAGAAGCTGTGGATGAAACCAGTAACAAGCGACCTGCGGTACCCTCGGTTCAGAATCGCACAAGTAGTATTGATCGTGCTGTGGAAAAGTCTGGAGCCTCAACTGGGACACCTACAGCCTACCGATCCAAGGTGGTCTATCGATCGAAGGATTCGCTGGCAGCAGATCACCATGGGACCACAACGCCTTCAGCCAACGGATTTGCTGAAGCCATCAGAAGCACCAGGGACACTGCGTTTCTAACCCGTAAACATACGATCTGAAAAATGTGGAAATTTGCAGGAATTTGTGTTTACTTATGGCCGCCAGTTACATCAGTTCCATTGTTTTTATTTTCTTTATTGAACAAGGTAAATGTGAACACTTGTCACCATTTAGATTTCCTTTGTTTGGATTCGTTCTGGTTTCCTCGTTCAGCTTCTCGCTGAGTGCAGTCTTAAGAAAGTTTCTTGTTTCCCCATTTTAGCTGCCTACGCTGCGGATTTTGAAGAACTGCAATCCTCTGGAGATGATACTCACAAGTGCTCCAACCTAAGAAAGACAGGCGTTTCTTCAGGTGAGTTTCTGATCGCGTGAATCTATTGAATAAGTTGACAGGAACAACTTTCCTTGAAGAGAAGTTCAGTGTGCAATTTGCATCTGAACCTCAATACTCAGTGTCCGGAGTTATGTTGAGACCTCCTGAAAAGTGCACGTCCCAATGCCAAGATGAAGGTGCTTTGACCTTATGAGAATCTGGGATGTCCATTTGTTCAGGCCCTCGTGAGCAACTAGCCCCGGCTAACTGGAACAGGTTCAAGAGGACAGTCGCGATCCGTGGGTGTTTGGCCATTCAAATCATGAATGACCAATTCGAATTGGCGCGAATGATAGGGGATCGCTACCTGTTTGTTGGTAGTTTGTATCGACTCGTAATATCTTGGTACATGAATAGGTGATTGTGTTTCTATTTGGCTGAAGTGAGCTCCTTCTCGTCTCCAAAGAGAAGAAAAAGGCTCAGTTTTTTTGACGAACTTGCCTGTCCTTTGGCATGCACTTTGCACCCACAAAGTGTAAAGTCATGCTCCTGGACATTCAGTCACTGAACACGCGACTAATAATCCAGAGAGAGAGGCATTGGAACTTGTGGAGCGTTTTACGTATCTTGGAAGTTGTATTAGTTCTGACTGTAGTGTGACAGATGAGGTGAATGCACGAATCTGCAAGGCTCGGGCCGCGTTTGCTAATTTGAGACACCCATGGCGTCAGAGTGGTTTATCCCTGAATCTCAAGGGACGTCTGTATTAAGCTACAGTATTGCTGTGAGACTTGGCCTATTCGAGCAACGGAACTGAGGCATCTTCAAGTGTTCGACAATCATTATCTGAGAACCATAGCTCGTGTGGGTTGGTGTCTGCGAATCCATAACTAGGCAGTTGGGAAGCGAGGTTTCGGTTGTACAACGGGTACTTCCATTCAAAAATGTGTCCAGCACCAGAAGATGAGTTGGTTGGGACATGTGTTGCGTATGCCTAACCATCGTTTGCCGAAGAGTGCTGTTTTCCATGTCCAACTCATAGTGGTGGCCAATCCTTGATTTGACAGAGGGGGTATAACAGACATTACGAAAAGTGTGGTTGCTATTGTTGCCACTCACCTTCCAGGATGGATACCGTGAAATCCTCACCACGCCTGGTTGGAAACGCTGAAATATATGGCTGCTTATCATTGTCAAATGGTAACCTTGTTGCCAGTTTCCATCCAGATTGTGTGAGTGAGTGTCTGGAGGTGTAGGAACCTCGGATTGATTGTGGTTGGCAAGCATCAAGTCCCTTCCCCGTCCACCTATATGCTCTTCTTCTGGCATTAAGTGACCCTCGACCATGTGATACGGTCAACACAAGATACCGTAACTGATGAGGAACTTTGATTGCTTCTGACTAACGTCAGTTTGCAATATGCCACAGGATGCGTTGAATTCCTGCTCTTAAAGTTTGAAAGATTTCCTATAACTTTTCGGGCCCACGTATCACAGTTGTGCGCGACATCCTGAGTAAGTTAAAAGGCTATGCTTGAAAGGCCAAATCCCCCTTCTCAGTTGTCCAGGTTCAAACAGAGATGTGGAGTGAGCAATGCAAATTTCGCAAAACGATGTTGATATGGATCAATAATTATTTTCAGGGTCAATCACGTGACTGACCAACTGGTGTAGTTTGGACCGCTGGTCTCTTATCTGCATCACTGAACTTTCCAACAGGCATCCCGTGTATGCTGCAAGCCCCCTGCAACGTTCCATTCTATCTCTTTCTGTATTGATCGCTTCTAGCTCGCCCCCCTCTCAAGTAACTTCTACGGTGAGTGAATGTCTGGAGGTGTAGGAACGATTGATTGATTGTGGTTGGCAAGCATCAAGTCCCTTCCCCGTCCACCTATATGCTGTTCTTCCACGTAAGGCTTTGAATTCATGGACACACTCACTACCCCCCCGCCCTATTGAGCCATCACATTCAACGAATCATCTCTCAGCGATCGATCTCGATAGGAGCTTACCAACCAAATGGTTCACAGATCACGTGGTCATTTTATCTGAATACTTGTCAGTTCATGAGCCAGTTGACTTCAGGTCACATGACGCGAACCACGACATATTCTGTCTACGGGCATTTTCTAAATCGATTCCGGAATATTCCGAGGAAGAGGGATCCTAAATAAAATTGACATTTTTCCAAAAAGGTCCGTCAATTGTGTAATACTTTGAATACTGGACTCAACCATTTCAGTTCGTGAGGACGTCCAGAAGACATGAATTGTGAGGTATCAAGACTTTGCATCATTTAAATTCCGATTTTTCTGGACTCAACCATTTCAGTTCGTGAGGACATGAATGTCAAGACTATGTATCATTTAAATTTCGATTTTTGGCCGGCAGTCTTTTCTGAATTTGCCTGCCCTTGCACAATGGGCAGTGCCACATACTCTGTGGCCTCACTTACCGGACTGAATCTCAACCGAAATTCCCCCGATCTCATCACATTCCCAAGAACCATTGTTTTTTGCATGCATGAATAGCGCAGATCAAATTTGATGAAAGGTGAACATACAATCATCTCATGTTTGCCCAAATCAAGCTGACTGAAATGTGACAAGAGATGACCTAAATTTGGTTCGTATTTTAACTATGCACTTGTGTAGGCCTTTAGGATTCTGCGAATTCTAATTACCAGAAAGTATTTTATCAATATCACAGCTATTCATACCGTTTCCGGTTGAGGGATTTAGGTTTAAATTACTCCGTATTGTTGGGAGCAAGTCAGGACATTTTTAAATGTCGATGGTCGGAAGACTAGGGAATGAAAGTCTCGTTCAAATGGGGGAACAGAAACTGTAACCCAAGACCGGCGTTGTCTTTGAAATTGTCGATTTGTTTTGGGCTTGTTGCTCTTTGCAACAACATCGCGTACTTCGACTATCAACACATGAAAATAACGTATGCAAAAGGCCCATATAAGATGGGCTGCAACTTTTTTCTTGAATGCTATCAGTTCAATTTCTGAAGATTAAAAAGGGGCTTTACCCCATGGTTTAAGTCCTCCTGTGCTGGCAAGTCATAAACTGTAAACTGTAATTATTCAGTTACCTGAAACATCACAAACGAGAGTCTCCCGCAAAACCAAATTAATTGGCAAATGAGCATAGTTCGTTCACTTCGTGCAATTTGGGTTCAAGTAGAACATAAGGTTGATGGAAACTCGGGCACTGCGCCTGCCTGATGAGCCCGAAGTGGAAGGGCAAAACCGGTCGTCGGCTGTCGATGAATTTTCAGCAACCTTATGAGCAGTGCATTACGAGTATACATCTAAACGTTATCCTGTTTGTCATCAGAAATGTGTACCTAACACACACCTATCACAGTAGGGGCCTTCAGTGCTTGAGTACATCTGGCCGTCACTGTTACAATTCGACCCAAGATTGTCTACCAAATCCTGAACTACTGTTGAGTAGTATAAAGAAAATGAAAAAGTTGCCCCGCTTTCCGTAGATTGCTGATTTGTCTCAAGGATGCCTGGCACCCACCAATGAGGCAGGTTAACCAACAGGCGAATGAGAAATCTGACCCAAACGATCAATGATTGATCAAAGCCCACCTGGTTGAATAGATTCTATGTAAACTCACCTACGCACAAGAACCACGCACCTCCAACCACCGTGCACTGATGATGTTACCTCGACTTGTGATGAAGCGTTTACAGCCAAATTCAAGATGGTCAGCTTTCCTGAAAGAATCCCGAAGCATGGGCTAAGCTGTTCTTCTGCCTACCTATGGCAGGATTCACGTCAGGAATCTTCAGTTCGAGACTTTTCAATGACTACATGCCGTCTTTTTGTGCAAGAAACCAGCTCGACATGCCATCTAGGCTTCTATAAAACGCCTTCACCCTACACTGGATGGGCAGGTGCAAAAATTCAGCACCAAATATCTATATTTTTGATGAAAGTAGCAGAGAACTACTGTAGTGTTTTACAGGAACGGCAGATGGGAAGGTCCGTGGTTCGAATCCAACCCAAGCATTTCGACTGCTCCTGTCTACGGTTGGGAAATCAGGCGGAATCTCACCCCTCGTTCTTTGTTAGGATATCATGGCATTCAGACAGATGCAGATGGACCATCACTGTCAGTATTAGTATTGCTATTTACTAACACGAGTGAATTGATTCTGAGAAAAAACAATGAAAACGGAATCGAGCCTGCGCACTTTCAGCGAAAAAGTGCGAACTACTTGTAAGAAATTCCCTCTCTTCCGGAATCAATATATGTAACACGATTGATGTCTTTCTCTTAATGTCTACAGTTTGTTAAATCAAGTACCTAGTGAGGGAGGGTTGCCTTAAATGGACACGAATTTGTTTAATCGATAAGCTCGAATTTCCAACAAGTATCCATACTTTCACAGTGAACTTCGATATGCCTTCCAGATAATTCACGACATTCTTCCGGGACAAAGGTATGTTTTACCCCCACTTGTTTTCCCTCTCTCGGCATTTTGTCTCTGGTTTTGCGATTTCTGGCCCCTTTACTTTTGATTTTGTTACATACAGGCAGAAAAACTTGTGTAATTCACCTGTAAAATGCTTATTTATTCCACGAAGCACTCGCGCAAATAAAAGCCCCGAGAATGTCCCAGTGCTTCGAAGAAATTCCCTCGCAATTGGGTACCGAAAGATACACATTTTCTGGGAAAGTTTTAGTGACGTAGCTTACTTGATGAGCATTTTCCTATTTTCAAGTAAAGCGTTAAAAATCAAATGCACACAGCCGTCTTGTATAGTTTATAGGTGTGAAATACTACTACTGAAATACTACTGACTTCTAGTTCATGTCAAATGGATAAATATCATCAGTTATGTAGAGGTCTCTAACCTATGGTCCGCTTGATAGCTCCAGCTGGCGGCGGGTTCCATCCGCCCGCTGCCACTCAGTGTTATAGATGGAACTATCTCCTGACTGGCGGGTCAATTGATCGTCACAACCAGAACAGTTACTCGGTCGTCGTTTGATGAGTCGGACACACCAATCACATCGCTCAAGCGCGAACACGTTCGCCTGTTCAGACGTGATGATTCAGATGCGTTCTGCATGCGTTGGTGGAGCAGTGGTTACACGCTCACCTCGCATGTAAAACGTCTGGAGTCCAAATCCCGGGACGGCCGTTGGATATGCACTGCTGACGAGCTCTACTAAGGGCGAAACTCGAGTCCAGTGCTTCCTTAGGTGTGGACACACCGGGATTGTTAGGCCAGAACAGGAGGACGACCGTCCGAACAAAGTACCTATCCCACAAAACCCCGAAGCTACCTCCTATTTGTCCAACAAAACTGATGATACTTCAACAAAGAATACCCTTCGGGTCAAATAAGCCAACAACCGAATTCGTTTACAGAATTTGTGAGACCACAACGATTCCGAGATCCTCACATAGTAACTTTCATCAAGACAACCGGTTTTTTCCGCGATCGAGGGAAGAACAAAGACGTATTTGAAGAAATCGTTCAGCTGTAGCACCCTTTCGATGCCTAGCTGCCGTGCCACATTAAAGGAGGCACGAGGGCTGGGATACTGCCTGGTTGCCCAAGCCTAGACAGAGGAAGGCGAGAAGTAGAGGTCAGGTTCGAACCACGAACTTTCCGGTCAGAAAATTCACGCTCTAACCACTTGGTCCAAACACGTATTTTGTGGGATTGGTTTTGCTTACCAATACCCATTTTCATTTCAATTATTTCGATTCGCATATTCCTTTGTAACCTTCCTCAATCAGAACTCTTCGGAAAGCCTCAGAATACCTCTTACGCTCATATAGTGAACTGAATCCGAACGCGCATTACATCTGTGACAGTTTCAGGCAGTTCTCGAAGTTTCGAAAAATTTTATAATCTCTATCCACCCTATTAGATCTGACAGAAGACACTTGCTGCGATATTTCTTCTACCCTCTTCAGTCACAGACGTAAACCCGGCTGGGTAGAGTCTGATTGGTTGATATTATGCAAGTCACCTGATCGAACTTAGGAGCAACAACATAGTCTGCTTCAACTCCTTTTGTGCACGTATTCTGGGTTGGTTTGGTTCCCACAGCTGCGCTTCGCTTGCGGTAAAAACCTTGGAACATGTTGCAACGTAAGATTCGGGATGTGTCACTCCAAGGTCAATCCGATAGTCAGTATCTACCATAGATCTGACAATGGACTGATTGCGATTTGACCTTTGATCCGATAACCTCTGTAAGTTTGTCCGAAAAATTTCTTCAGCACCTCGTCAAAAAGGGACTTAAATGGACAAATACACTTATTTACATATCAACTAGGCTTGAATGGTAGACTCTAATGAGTCTCTCGTTTACGAGGTTCTTCGACTAATTATCGTGCACAAAGGTGGACGAAAACTTGGGGGCTGTAGCTTTCTGACAAGTCCCAAGAAGGGCGGTCGTTGGCTGTCGAAGAGTTTTCAGCCACCTTGTGAGTAGTTTCCCTTAAATGGAGTTTTTCCAACCATTTGGTCCGTACGGAGTAATGATAAAATGGTTTTGGTTACCGATTCTCTGACAAGTCGTCCTGTACCAGAATGAGTGCGCAGTCTCTGTCGTTGACTGACATCGATTCTATCAGCTCTCCGCGATAGCCATGAACAATTCGAAAAACAATATTGGACCACCGGAACAGAACAGGTTATGAGTAGGACTGGACTGACGTCTTACCATCGCGCTTACTCTAGACAACAAACACAGATCAAGTCCTTCAAAGTCATTGCGAGGAAGCGCCAGGGCACATCTACGCGACTGCTACAGCAAATAATTTGCTTACAGATCCACACTACTGCACAAAATTCAGTAGCTAGACGAAATTGGTGTACAAATGCGTGTAGTCTCGTGCATTGGGTTCAAGTGGAACATCAAGTTGAGGCCCACTCGGTAAACACTAAGGAGGGTGAAACCAATCGTACGTTATCGAAGAGCTTTCAGCAACCTTATGGTCAGTAGTATGTTAAGCCTAGTTTCCAAACGGTGTGTCATGCGATTCTGTAATAATATGTAAGTACAGGCAAACAAATGAAAATGAAACAAAGCTTTGATGGAATTGCTGGAGCTTATGTAATTTCGCGTCATCCTCCTCATCGTCTCTTATCGTCATTTACTGAATTTATTGAGTTTAATTCACGAACAGAGAACAAACGTTGCAGGCGTGCCCCCATTTTGTGTCGAATTGGCTTCCACTTCTGTACGGCTCAACAAAACTTTGGGAATGATATGTAACCCCCGCATCTCACAATCGGTCCTAATGATTACTTGGTTAATCTCATTGTACACGCCTTTCAACCGTGATGCCAAACTATGCAGACTGACCGATGGAATAGTCATGAACAGTCTTTTATTCAATATATACTTACGGTTATTCCGCGAAGCAAATCAATCTCGAAGCTCGCCTGTTTGCGCTGTTACTGTAATGGTTTTAGTGCTGTTGTGTTCTCCAAATGCGAAAATAGATTACTTGTAGAACAGGCACTGTGCATTTCAAACTCGAATTCACTGCCGAGTCACGCATGTAGGTAGAAAATAGGATGACACTTATCAGAGCCTCAGTCGTTCAACGAAGTTCCGACATCCGCCATGGCAAAACCCAACTGCTGCACCGAGACACAAGACGCATTGCGAAAACTCGGTCATCCAATTCGAAAGCTGTTCTTGCGATGGCTGGCAGCCGTGGCTCTCCGACGCCCCTAACTAGGCAGATGTGCGGAAAGAAGTGCTGTTGAGGTTATATTTACCGTGGTAAGGCGGACGCGTTGCCATTTGACGGATCACATGAACACAGTTCTCTCCCATCGCTAATTGTCCACGTCCGCTCAAAAATAGAATATTCTGACAGCTTTCACCCAGTTCCACATGCCTCAAACCTCACTGACCTGTGCTCCGTTTTCTCCACAAATTATGTATCCCATCCCGCTTCCTCAGTCCCGTTTTCCGCTGTCTAAACTCTGTCTAAACTCGGTGTTTGTGGACAACCAAATAAGATATCACGTAACTGTTAAAACGTTGCTTTTTGCGCTTGTTTCGGACCACTCAGTGAGAACCGCTGTTTTGCGGGCTGTTCAAATGCTGCGCTAAGGTTTGACTAAAAGACTTGCTGAGCTTTGCGGACGGAACATCTTCGATATCTCATAGTAAGTAATACTGATTGCACAGTTCCAGTTGTCAGTAGCCTGGTACACATTCTGGTGCACATTCAACGGGACGGGTAGTGTTCTGTATGCCTCAGTCATCAGTACAGTGCAAACGGCCAAGCGGACAGCACGGCACTCGGTGTGGTATGAAGGTGACTGCTAGGAGGAAACTACTCACAACGTTGCTGAAAACTCTTCGACAGCCCACGACCGGTTTCGTCCTTCCACTTCAGGCTCACCAGGTAGGCTCAGTCCTCGAGATTCCGTCAATCATATGTTCTACTCGAACCCACATTGGACCGTTTTAGAGAAATACACTCATTTGCAAATCAATTTGGTTTTCACGAGAGAATCAACTGAATCTCTCCTTTATGATATTCTACAACTGAATGTGCTGCACACAGGCCGCCACATGTTTCAGTTGGCGCGCTATTCGAGATATCGCAGTGTATTTTGATAAAGGAAATAGTCCAATTCCGGTTCAAATAGAACATAAGGTTGACGAAAACTCGGGAACTGCGCCTACCTGATGGGCTCCAAAAAGGGCGAAACCGGTCGTGGGTTGTCGGAGACCTCTCAGCAACATCGTGAGTAATTTCCCTTATGAAAATATACTGCCGTTTTACGGAAGTCCAGTCATTCTGCCACAAATGGGGTTGAAGCAAAATTTGATTTGGATAGATCTTTATCAACACATCTGGAGGCTAGCATCGTTTTCATTGACATGCCCCAGTTTGAACTAGGTAACCGCTTTGCACGGCATATTTTTCCACCGTGTGCCTCCAAATTTCACGGTCAGAGCTCTTCTACGACCTTTGCTAGGAAGATAACTGAAGTGGAGCACAGAGTAGCAACATTTCATTTAGTCACAGATTATTGTCTGTCCGCAATCCCATTTAGATTGAATGACTGTTTGTGATTCGGGTCCTGAACACAAACCAGAAATGGAATTTTCTGAGCTGGGCTAGGTGGTCTTATCCTCACAGTTCGCCTCAATCCACCTTTTGCGCCTATATCTCCATATGGCTTAATAGTTTTCTTTCAAGTTCGTTTGAATGACTGCCATTTTTTCTCACATTTTCTCTTTCTTCAGTCGACTGAATCAGCCAACGAAAGTGATTGGTCGAAAAAAGGCACGTGAACCCTGCATGATGTTTACCAGCCACGTGACTCAACGTTATCACGTCATCCACTCGTGCACCAGCTGTTGTCCCATTTGTGTTGTGACCTTGGGCATTTCTGTTCTGAAGCGCCAACGTTGTTCTCTCTCTTCGTTTCAATCATTTTCTCCTGCATTTTTCCATTTCTCATCTGGCGCCCCACTGCATGTTTGCTGACCTTATCGATGTTTCGGCAGCGAGATGCACTTTGTAAAACCGTGTAAATTCACTGAAATGTGAAATGGTTCACGGAAGACCATGGTATGATTAGCCTTAGTAGGTACTTGACCGTTTTAGTACGCTACGTATTCACATGCGAGAGTTGTTTGTGAATTTACGATTGATCTGACGAAGGAATGTGCGGAAGAACGCAAGCACGCATTTGTTCTCAGCAATGTACGACCTATTTCGTGAGATTTTACATTCCATCACTGTCTCAGATATGTTATTTTTGTAGCAAGTTGCAAATACACGCTAGTGGGTGCTTGCTTACACGGACTTTCTTTCCAACCGCTAGCTAAAGTACCAGCTGGTATGTGTTTATTGAAAAGTATACAAAAATTTATTGCTTTGTGTACGTCGCACTTTGCATTATTTCAACTCTTCAAATACAGGATTGCTTTCGACCTACTACGTATAATCAGTTGGCTTGGCCATTATTTTACTATGTCAATATTATCCGCCTCCCATGCGCGGAAATATACCTCTCCGAATCATTGGTGAACGAAATTTTGGCAGCTACAACCATTGTATGACAAGTACGCGGATTCTACAGCTGATGACGATGATGTAGCTGAGGTTAGATGAAAGATTTGGTACCGAACACGGGAACGTATTTCATTATCCAGGCTCTCTGCACCCCACATAGGTTCAGCCATTCTGCCAGGCGTAAAGTACATAAAAGATGATCCACTGTGCCTCGTTATGGTGGGCGGGCATCCGACACGGATGTTCCTGTCTAAGCGAGGATTAATTACCACTGGATATAGGGTCCTATTGGGGATGAAACAGCTTTCCGTTGTTTCTCGGCTTGTTACATGGACGACATAATTACCACTGGATATAGGGTCCTATTGAGGATGAAACAGCTGTACAGTGCTTCTCGGCTTGTTACCATGGACGACAGGACGAAATCTCGATTGAAAATTACCGCATCGGAAAGCCATCAGTTCACGTTCGGCGAATGAAACCTTGCTTTGCATTTGGTGCGTCATTCACTTGGGAACGGCCCAACTTGCGCGGTGACAAAAACTGGCTTTTGCTTCGCTGCCAAGTTACAAATGTGACCGCCCCTGAGTCACCTCCATCGTGCACAAGGCTGGACAAGAAGAACTTTTCGATGGAAAGGGTCCCTTAGCATACAAAGTGTATGGTCTAACCGGCGTGACCAGCCAAACTACCGAAGTTGGAGGTTAAGGGCAACTCAGAGAAGTTGCGCGTGAACATTGTCACAGAGTCATGGATCCGCTTTCAACCATTCCGCTTCCGAGCAAAATTAAACTGTCTTATCTGCACTGCGTACTTCAAAGGGTGTGTAACCAACCCGCTCCAGCAAAAAGGTTGGAGCGGTTGTCCGACTCACTGTCAAATCAGTGTGATTGGATGAATTTGTCTCTGTCTACAGACAACGTGATTGGAAGCAGTGTGCGAACCAATAAAATTGTTCTACTTCAAGGACGCTCTCAATGTCTACCAACCAATAATAGGAGACCCTTTCCCTAGAATGGTACAAAGAGAGTGGGTTATTTGCTGGCATTGGAGGCCGATATCGGATATCCAAACTCCACTTTTCGAAAAATGTCTGCACAGTAGAACAACAGATGTGCATCCTATCCAAAGTGAGTATGAATTTTATTGTCAGGAACCAGCTTAATCACTCAGCCGGAAGCTGCCTCCTGATTCCGAAACCCGTCGTACTGCTATTTTCTGCAGGCTTACTGACCGCCTTTCACGCTATGTACGCTAATTCATGTGAACAGCAAAAATGACCGTATCCGAGAGGGACATTGAAGATCATCAGTTTATCGATCAGTGATTGGATTATTCTCATGAACATTGAACAGTTAAAAACGGGAACTGGACAGAGCAAATTTGGACAAAATGGCCAGAATTCTTTGACGGTCTTATCTGAGAATGCAATATCTCAGTGCTCGATGTAATCGTGAACAAAGCTCGGAGCGAGTCCCTGAATCAAGGCTATATGCCTTGAGAAAACTAGTTTACGCGATATCATCTTTTAGCTGTATAAGTTGGAACCAAGAATGGGTAGTTAAGAATTCAGTAGACGAGGGTTACTACCACTTCAACAGATGGAAGTGTTCCACGCACTGTGATGGTTTGGCACCCTAAAAGTAACATATTAAAATGTTCTATCTGGAAACGAGTTTTATCATGATTCGTAGTTCAGTTGTCCCTCTCTGAACAAATCAACCGAGGCCAGAGATGTTTCGCTCTAAGGATGAGTCACCTGTCGACGAGAGTGAGAATTCGCCAACATTTTGTGAGTACTGGATGCGACAAGGCAGTAGACAGGTTAGCAGACGCGAAGGATTCTTGGCCACTGTAACATATGGCTAAAACATGTGCGCACTACTTGACCTTGCGCTACACGAGCTGACCTCCACTTGTGCAGCCGGGCGCAGTGACAGCGAAAATCCGCGGCAGTTTTTAGCATGTCCGATAGAGACTTCTTCAACTAAGATTTCGTCCTAAAAGCAGGGCCAATCTAGGCTGGAAATGAAGAAATTACTGTTCCATCCTGATTGGGAGTCGTCGACCATGCGCATTTCACGAAATTCCAGAGGGTCACGAACCCGTGGCTAGTAGTTTTAAACGTTCAGCCACGAGCGGCTAATTACCGCTGTAGTTAACTCGCGCTGAGATTTCTATCTAAATATTCTTCACTGGAGGAGTCAGTCAACACGTGACCATGCGGCGTGGATCCCGTGATTGATTGGATGATAAGTGGCGCTGTATTCTGCCTAAATGTGAGCTTACCACTCTTGGTTGGACGGTTAAGTGCTTAACTGCTCGTACAGGGGTCGTGAGTCTCCAGTTACCTAAGAGAGTTTTGTCATATACGCACTCCTGAGAATTCCCCATAGATTTCCCTCTTTTCTCTGCTTTCCAGTGTAAACTGACTTGCTTTCTTCTGAAACCATGTACTTATTTACTTTGGGATTACGCTTTTGTGTGACCAGCTAAAGTAAATTTTAGGTTGTGCAACGGGTACTTCCATTGAAGAATGTGTCCAGCACCAGGAGCTATGTTAGTTGGGACATGTATTGCGCATGCCGAAACATCGTTTACCGAAGAGAATGCTGTCTTTCCTGTCCAGGTTAGAGTGGAGGAAGCAGAGAGTTGGCCAGCTGTTGACCTGGCAGAGGGGTATTAAAGGGATTACGAAAAGATTGGTTGATGTTGGTGCTACTCGCCTTCCAGGATGAGAGCAGTGTGATTGGCAGGTGATCGTCTCCTAAATGACCGACATTCTAGTCACAGGCCCCGCTTATTTTCGCCGTTGTGTGAAGTAGACAACGATGCTATGGGATAGTTGAAAACGACCAGTTATTGTGTTAGATGTGAGGCTTCACAAGAGAAGAGTAGCCCCGGCGTCACCACCAAAGTAAAGTATCCGAGAAATTTGCGCAATAATTTTAAGGCTGCTGACCAAGTCGGCTCGCAGATTTTTTTCATTTTTACAAGAAAGTAATAGGAGGTCTCACAATGGAGCGATTCGTGCATAATCCCCTGGTGATCAAACAATCTGACGTAATTTTGCATATTATGGGTAGCTTTGGTGCACCTCATAGTTGATAGCCTGTTCGCTTGCAACAGTTTTATTGCCGGTGGAGGCTGAGTGGTTAAATTCTGCGTACGTTTATATAGGTGCTGAACAGTGTCTAATAGCTCAAAAGTGATTGGTTGTTTGTGAGTGGCCTCCCGCCTGATTTGATTGGTCAGTTTATGTCCTAGGCCCGTGTCATTTTCTTGTATCTGGTTGACTCTTTGGATGTATTCAATTCGGCAGCTGTGTTCCTCCGTTGTGATTGGTCCTTTCTCTCTTTGCTTTATGATATGGCTTTCGTCCGGTCGAGCGGTTTATTGGGCACCGTTTTACACGCGGCAATTTTCTCTTCTTTGATTTGGCTTGCCCGTTGTTCACTGCTTACCCACTAAACTCCACAATGACGACATCAGCTAATTGTTGATGAAACGTTTGCAATCCAATTGAAAAGCCCTAACAGTTCATTAGGTGGACAGGCTGACCAACGAGTGAAATTGTTAAAAGACGTTGCGGGGAACTGTCAGGGTAATTCCATTCACTTGTCCACTGGTCGTTCTAGTGTGGATGTATGGATCAGGTTCATGTGTCAAATAACTTTTCCTTGTCCTTCGATCTAGTTGAAGCCAAGCACGTTTTCACACGTTTGGCCTTCGTACTCAAGTAAATTGAACCAGAATAAAGTACTGTCCTAGGCTTAAATGATGTAACTCACACAGGTAACCAGACCTCAATCAGGAAGAAGTACTAGCCTTCTGCAAAACGCGATTCATCGCAAGCCCATTTGGTTCTAAAGGAAGACTAGGCAGAATCCCAGCTAAATCGCATGTCTGTGATATTCTTCAACTAAATGTGCAGCCCAATGTGGCCTCATGTCGAAGTTGGTACGACATTTGAGGTATCGCAATACCCTCTTTTGACGAGACACGCTACTTAAAATGTTGCTGAACCCTCTTCGGAAGCCTCGTACTTCTTGGATCTCACCAGGTAGGCGCAGTCCCGGATTCCTGTCGAACTTATTTCACTTGAACCAAAGGGGGGGTATGCGCTGTCGAAAAGTTTTCAGCAAACTTATGAGTAGTGCGGTCGTTGGCTTGTTCGCTGAGCTGGGCAATTCGATTGCAAACGTTTCATCACCAATCGAGGTGACATCATCAGTGCGTTATTGAAGAGCGTAGTAGTGCATAGCGGTGGGTTAGTGGTTGTGCGTTGTACAGTGTTGCACGTGTGATAATATACGTGCTGCTAGCAGGGGGTGCCCTTTGATCGCGATTAGTTGTTCGGTCGGGTGATTCCATTGGTTGCTCCGTTGTCCTGTGTCCCCATTCGCCGATGCTCACATGACCTTTGAGCTTTGCATCCTCTGCCTTAGTAATCTGGTTGATGCTGGAGTTATTTTTGTCCTTTCGAGTCCCGGCTTGTGACCTTTATTGATTTGCCGCCAAGGAGTTCCTTGTTTCTTTGTTTGTGAATCCAATATTCGGTCCTCCTTGAGTTTTCTGGTTGAGGTGTTGGTTTTTTGCACGCAGAGGTGCGTAAATTGGGTCCAGTTTGATGCACCGGTTGATTGAGCTACCAGCATTTTCCTTTATAAGTAGTGTGTTTCTTCTAAGCTATCCTCGGCTTCCCTCGTTCTAGCCTTTCTTACCAATGATGGTTTCTACGCATTTATCATGCGATTTTGCCCACCCTGTAAGGGTAGCCCATTTTTAAGAGGAAGAAGAGAAAACTTGTGTACAATGAGATCTCACCAAGCCCATTCATACCGGTCGTGTTACGCTAGCAACAGACTACCACGAATACCCAATTTTTTCTGTCGAATAAACGATAATTTTCGAAAATAGGCTTACAAAGCAAAAAACACGGACATTTACGAAAATGTCAACACCGTCACCCTGTTAGGTCCACATGGGGTCTTCCATT